CTAATTTGGTCCTCCGAGCCCAAGTGGAAGCCAATTTTTCTACCACCAGAATTAGCTAAACATAGGCTTTTCGTAGGGAAGTTCCTAAAGTACGGTAAACAGTGCTGACTCATGACTAACCTTCTTACAGTAGCTTAGGTCTGGTTTGGGATTCAAATACAATAACTTTGAAAGTGAAGTAAATTCACGGCGTATTCAAGGAAATTCTATGTTTCGCACTCTTAGTTGGTTTTGAGCTAGTTCCTCCACTAAGACTGAATCAGTCTTCGCTATATGGAACGCAGCCAATGCCACTCGAGACGCAGCCTCTTCGCTGACCACTTAAGAGCACTGCTGAGATCTTACTGAAGTGCTAAGGTCTCCCGTTAGCGCTCGCATCGAACCAATCAATCTCCCATGGGCCAGCTGGTTGGTGTTTAGTTTTTTCTTCTAGAGGTCCTCGTGAAAATGAACTCATCAGCACCAACAGCGCCAGCGCCGGTCACATCTCACCGGCGGCGACCAGTCGCGCTCCGCCCAAGACCGACCCCGCCCACTGTCGTCCAGCTCCCATTTGCACCTGGAGCTCTCCCTTTTCGGCCAAACATAAACATTAACGTTGTGGTGGTGGACGGCCAGCTGATGTTGTTATTCGCCATTGCTGCAATTCTGCATGGATCAGGTTTGTAGTGGGCTATTAATCCATTAAAAGGGGTTGTGGGGTTCCCATGGACTCAATGGTAGGAGCTTGTGTTATACTGACGAAATACACTTTACTTTGCACGAGACGTGAGCACTATCTCAACGTTACCGTACCCTCTTATATGACGTTGTTTATTTTTATTTTACTGAATTATAATTAGTTTCATTCTTACCTATCTGAGCGACTGGTTCCTTTACCATGTCAATGAGCTCTCTTCGCACTACTTCCCTTCAGATACATTCAAAGGACTTTTAAAGAGATTGCTTTTAATATGACGTAGTTGTGTGGAAGACTAGTTTAAATCTATATGGCTTTTTCGTTCGCTCCGGCTTTGGACCAGAAGGCTCATATTTCTGAAAAACCCTTTCCGATCATACTCGATATTATGGAAATAATGTTTTGGTAGCGTTCAATTGTGCTCATTGATTCACTTAATTACTTGTTTGTTCATTTGTTTTTATGTACAAAGCCTCATACAGTGAGAATATCAAACTCGATGGTCTTTCTGCCGTCCAGATGAGGCTACAGAGTTATGGGCTTTAAATGGCTGTTGGACTTAGTTTGACCATATTTCCACTATGATGCCAGCTGGTCATTTTCGTGTGTCCAGATTTAATTTGAGCACTTATATTCGTCATAGATGAGGTAGTTTGGGATTAAGTAATTCAGTTTCCGATATCTAACGAAATTTCAATTTTGACTCCTTTTTTCCAAAATTTTTCCCCACTTTTATATAGTTTCTCTGCTTTACTTCTCATCACCACCGATTTGCCGAACTGAATAGAAGAGTGCCTTTCCTTTTCACTGCTTTCGAATGAGCCACTTGTCATCTGCAATGATTTGAAGCTGACTTTCATTTGAATTGTTCATTTTTGTAAACAAATATTTCAGTAACTTCAAGAATTTTGACCCATTGTCAATGTGATAACTTATCGATGGATCAAATCTCCTGAACTTACTAAAATAACTGTTTGCAATGACGACGAACGATTGTATTGGATACCACATTCTGTAAGTAAGTCGTGGATTGAAGGGTTCGATTGATTGATACTGGATTTATTCGGTAAGTATGGCTGCGATCTTGAGTATCGAAAGGCTTTAAAGTGCAAGTTGAATAGGAGCCAACTGGTTTATCTAATTCTGGACTGGACGAACTGCGTGCTGTGTTCTTTTCTAACATGTGAACCCTATGAAAGAAGGATTTTTTGGAAATCTTTCACATTAGCTTGATGAAAGTTTCGTTTCAGTAAGTTACATGATGGTAATTTTAATTACTTTGAAATTTTTCCTAGGTAATATTGGCATCAATTCGAACATTTTATTCGCTCGATACTTGCTTATAAAGTAATTTTTTAAAATTGCGTTCAACTATTGCTAAGTTTCTTGGAGTTTTCCGCATTCACCTTCAATTTACCTATCAGCACTGCACTTACATGGAGAAGAGGTAGCAAAATTGGTGACGATCCCTTTCCAGAGCTCTGATCTTCTGAAGTTCTCATCAACTTCGGTCAGATCTCTAACTCCTATCACTCACCTTCGGGTTTTTTTTCAAGCACTCAGCTTTGAAAGCTCTACTGTCAACTGGATTGGATTCACAACATCCATGACATCGAATGACGCTTAATACGGTGGCAGTTTTAACTTGATTGACTCGGCCGGCACCGATCCAAGTCAAGATACCCGGAGCATATCCATGGTAGTGACGGCGCTTGACTCCACTCCCTGTACGCCTGAGTTCCGTGGGACGAGAAGAAGAGCCAGAAAATGGAATTTCCGTCGTCGAGAAAGTCGACATAACATTGTAATTGTAGTAAACAAAGGCGGAACTACTACAACAACTCAATATTTATTTGTTTACTTGATTATGTTCTGCACATAAAGGCATGACGCGACCTTGACACAACATGGCGAGAAATTCATTCACAAACAGCTCGAGAAAACAAAGAAATCCCTCAAGTTAAAAAAACGTTGTAAAGCAAAAATCTGGGGCAAATCTCGGAAGGCAGCATAAGCTGCTGAAGGGAAGTGTTATGAGGGGAAGTTTGCGAGAATTGCCAGTTTTGGTGGTTGAGCTATTCAGTGTGATCCTTCATTTTGATGTAATTGTTCAAGAAAACTCAGAAACCATCGTTTTTCCTCTTGGGATGGGTCTGTGGTAGAGTCTGTAACTACCTGAGCAACTTTATTATACGCTAACGAAGGGCAGTTGATGCAAAGCGAAACGTTTTTCCTGAATTTTCGCCCTAAAATTGAATTTTCCGCGCGCGTGACTTCTCTCATTTTTTGTCTGAGCTTTACCGTTGGAGTGGCCTTATTCGATTACCTATTGGATTCCGGTGTAAAGCATTTGGTCCCTGACACATGTTGTTGAGTGCTTATGAATACGTTTGAAATCCACAATGTGCCATGTGCTTTTGGAGGCTTTGCCAGCCTGTAGCCTCTTAATTAGGCTAGCAGCTTAATTAGGCCTTCTTGGATCCCTCAAATGTCGTTCGATTGCATAAACGGATGTATGAGCACGAAGGAGAGCACTGTGATGGTTGACCTAGGATGGCCGGCCCGTGTAACGCAGTTAGGCGCCAGTACCCCTAGAGAGTTTTGATGAATACCAGTTAATAACTACGAGAGAGCAGCCTTTACGGACAGCCGAGGTTCAGCCACGATCACTGTTGTCCGTCACCCTCATCTCGGCTCGTTGCAATGACAGAGACGTCCATTCTGATGTTCCCCACGTTGCTTTGTCAGATTTTTAACGGTCAGTTCATTAGAAAGGATTATTTCTTATTTCTACTGCATGGCTACTTGTCTTCGATTGGCATGAACTGTAAGGTTGAGAGAGCTGCAGCTACTCCCTGATTACCCGACACACTGATCTCCGTTCGGATTACTCCGTGAGTGGGACCCCCGCTCAGGCATAGTATCCGATTCATTCCACTTACCAGTTACTATTCCCCTCACTTTCATTCTGTCCTTAGTCCTATGTATTATTTCCCAGAGTGTCCGAGATGGAGAAAATGAGACTCTTAGGACTGATGTGGATTTTCTTGGATGCGCCACGTGCATAGAACTCTTTAAATTAAAGGTTATTTACTGTTTTATAGGATACCCTAAGCAATTGGGGGAGGCCTTCTTATGCCCCTTTTTATCAACACTTGTACAACATTTAGCTTTCCTATAATAGTATGGGAGAATACAAAAACGCGATAAGACCAAAGAGTAATCGAATCAGCGAGAATGAATCTTGGAATCACTTTTTACCGTTGCGCTCAACCACTTCATCGTTTTTTATTTATAGGATTGAAGGAAATGCCTTCCCTTTAAGTATAAGTTCAAATCTGAGCTGAACAAGATGGCAGTTCACGGATGGTTACGGAGTTCTTCAAGTGAAGAGCTTGTGGCCCCTCACTCGTGGGGCCAAAAGCTCACTCGGAGAGCTTTGAAACCATCCGTGAATTGTCCTTTACCCTATATGGAACGCTGTAAGTGGGGAAAGAGTCAATCAAGGACCAAGGAATCTCTGGTAAACCTTCTATTTTCACTTATGCCTTCTAAATTGGGTGCTGGTAAGTTACCAGTACTATGAAAGATATGTACCGAAATTATTTCCGATATAATTTCAATATTTCGGCTTATTTTGCATATGTATAGGATGCCTTCCCGACAAAGAACTCTTGGATCGTTTGCTTAATTTTTCCGTGTTTTCCTT